GTCCCGGTGGCTCACTGCTTCGGTCCGGCGGGTCAGAAGAAACGTTTCTGCTGCGTCTGCAGGAAGCAGACGGAGGGAAGCACGGCGCTGCGCTGTGAAGGTCAGACCAGTTCCACCTCAAGTTAAACCAGTTCAACCAGCACCTGATTTGAAACCAGTTTCCAGCGTGCCGAACCCGTCGAATGACACCAGAATGTACCTGAAACAACAGACAAAGAAATACTCAGCAGTTATATTATCATATCATTCATCATAATTAAAACAGCACGTACTGATAGATACGGAGCAACACACACAACACTCAAATCAGTAGATTTGTTCTTTTTGCACATTAAAAACACATTAAAGTAGACTTCTTCTTTGATTACTGTCAGTCATGTTGTGGCGGCCGTCTCAGAGTAATAACAGCAGCTGCATGATGTCTATTGCCACTTTTATTGTCTTTTTATTGTCTTCTTCATCACAGTTTGCATAAAGTTTGCACAAGATTTGAATGGAAACATGAACATTGAGATAACTCACAGGAAACAGAGAAGAGATGTGTGAAGATAAGAGTCAGACTGTTACGTATACATATATTTAAATATAAACTAATAATGTAGTTTAGTCAGGGCAGCGTTGTTGATACAGCACATGTCAAACACAGAAAGGGAATAAAATCAGTTAAGATAGAATAAATTAGAAAAGTGCAGGAGAGTAATCTACAGATTATCAAGTTTTATCTGTCGTAAAATGCTGAAATGTCTAAAATGGAAAACTAGTGACGCATTAAACTTCCTGTTGTGAACTGACTGAACCCTGTGACCTTTGACCTCACATTCCTGATCTGACCAGGATTACAGGCTGTCACTAATACAACACGTGTGTGTGTGTTTCAGTGTGCGAGCTGCACGTCCACGCTGACTGCGCTGCCTTCAGCTGTGCAGACTGTCGCAGCTGCCACCTGGACGGGACTCTGGAGCAGGTCGGTATCACCTCAGAGAGCTGGGACTGTGAGAAGAAGGAAAGTCCGTGTGGTGTTTGAACCATCAGTTTAGATGTTTAATTTCATTTCATTTTAAATTTAAAAGTAAAGGAACATAATATTTTTTAATACGAGGGCAAGAAAGTGAAGCGAGAGTAATGAGATCCCTGCTCCGCCATCATGTGTATGAAGAGATCCAGGTTGTCACGTGACGCTCAGGAGTCTCAGTTATAAACGGTGCAAACGTACGAAACAGGGCTGGAAACGTGCGGACGCCACTTCCCAAGCAAAGTTTGTGATCTATAAAAACCAGAGCTGACGGGAGAAAGTGTGTCCTGAAAATAAACTCTGATCCATGCGTACGCACATAAAGAGGAGAAAAGAGAAACGGCGCCTCACACGGCAGAAGTTTGAAACGCTTTGAAATGGATATTATAGTGTAAAATAAATCCAAATATTTACCTCTGAGTATTCCAGGCCAATAAAACTTCATTTGCCAAACAGATGAAAGTCGTTCTGAATAAACAAAAACATGTTAATCTGGAATTATATTAAATAATACTTGCATGCAGCCTAATTTCCTCTCACAGATAAGGTGAACAGGAGGACAAATTAAATTCAGCCGTTTTCAGTGACTCAGTCGAGCAAATAGGAGTGCATAGTTTCATATACTGTTATTACATGTTTCATCTCCGTCACTACTCCTTCCCACGCATCTGTCGTGAAGCGGCTTGAGCTCCGGTGCACAAGCGTTTACTCACCAAACAAAATGCTTCAGCTGGGTTAGATTTCTTTTTGTAGCGTTTCTCTCTAAATTTGCCTCCTTATCCTCGTGCAGACAGTACGTATTAATATTAATGAGTTTCACTGACCATTTACAAACAATTATAGGCGTTTAAAAGGTGCTCGCTCCCAGGCGCCACTGTTCAGCGGAGGGATCTCGTAGTCTTTCCTACGCAGAGTTTTATTAATGAGACCCTGGAGTGTCAGCAGCAGATGCTTCAACAGCTGTCTAATGATCAGCTGATTGATCGGCTCAGTCTGATGTCTGCAGACAAGCGCTCGCTAACGTTAGCCACCAACGGAAGCAGGATCTGATCACTGATCAGTCGTAACCAATAAACACTCAGATTAGCATGTGGAGGCTCTTCAGCCTGTTCCTTCGTAGATAAAGATTAGGAGGCCACCATGTTCCCAGAGTCCTCACCCTCTAAAGGCCACTTTATACTTCTGCGTTGAATCTACACCGTAGCCTGAAGCGCACCTACCTGAAAATGTAACTTTGCGTTGCGATGACGCAGGAAGAGATGCAAGAACTGTGATTGGTCGCTTTGGTAGCGTCGCATTTCCAGCCTGTCCTCCTCCTTTTTCCGCCTCTGCACCGGTTTAAGGGTCGTAAACACACCATCTCCTCCGATGCCTTCTCTATTATAGGCCTATTTCTCCCAAAGAGGCTGATCAGACAGCATGCGTGTTGCACAGGTGGGCCTTAGGATGGCCACAATAAAAGGCCTTAGGATGGCCACAATAAAAGGCCACTCCAAAATGTGCAGTTCCGTCACACAGCACGACGCCACAGGCATGATGACTACAGGAATGTCCACCAGAGCTGTTGCCCGTGAATTGAATGTTCTTTTCTCTACCATAAGCCGTCTCCAAAGGCGTTTCAGAGAATTTGGCAGTACATCGAACAGGCCTCACAACCGCAGACCACGTGTAACCACACCAGCCCAGGACCTCCACATCCAGCATCTTCACCTCCAAGATCATCTGAGATCGGCCACCCGGACAGCTGCAGCAACAATCAGTTTGCATAACCAAAGAATTTCTGCACAAGCTGTCAGGAACCGTCTCAGGGAAGCTCATCTGCATGCTCGCTGTCCTCATCGGGGTCTCGACCTGATGGCAACTTCGCACAGCCATTGAAGAGGAGTGGACCAACACTCCACAGGCCACAATCAACTACCTGATCAACTCTATGAGAAGGAGATGTGTTGCACTGTGAGGCAAATGGTGCTCACACCAGATACTGACTGGTTTCTGGACCCCCACCCGGACCCCCCAAAATACAGTGAAACTGCACATTTTGTAGTGGCCTTTTATTGTGGCCAGCCTAAGGTTTTTTATTGTGGCCAGCCTAAGGTTTTTTATTGTGGCCAGCCTAAGGCTTTTTATTGTGGCCAGCCTAAGGCTTTTTATTGTGGTCAGCCTAAGGCACACCTGTGCAGTACCCATGCTGTCTAATCAGCATCTTGATCACACCTGTGAGGTGGATGGATTATCTCGGCAAAAGGAGAAGTGCTCACTAACACAGATTTGGACAGATTTGCACCAATATTTGAGAGAAATAGGCCTTTTGTGTTCATAGAGAAAGTTTTAGATCTTTGGGTTCAGCTCAGGATGAAAGGGGGCAAAAACTAAAGTGTTGCCTTTATAATTTTGTTCAGTGTAGAAACCCCTCCGCCATCTAGCGCTACGGCAGTCTAACTGCATAGCGACGCAGACGCCAACGCACAAGTATAAATTCTCACAACGACTCAGCGTAGGAGTATAAACTGGCCTTGACCCGACTCCTGGACCCGGGGAGTGACTCCTCGATCAGTGCCCACAGGTATGACCTTTGACCTCTGTTGGCGTCACTGGTTATTGTAATGACAGGGATCTAGTCAAGCCCATTGCATCTGGATTCCCAAATCTGCTGCTTTACAGGACTTTATAAACTGAACGTGAGTGTGTGTGTCAGTGAGTGATGTGATTGGGTGTTATTGATCAGAGTTCAGTCTGACGGATCACCTGACACCTGCTGCTGTCCCACACTGTTCATCGATCCGAGCTGATTGATCGGTCACAGCCGTCAATTAAACTCAACAGCCTGAAGCTGAGGGCCCCGCTGAAAACCAGTTTAACACCAGAGGACTGAAATCAGTCAGAGAGTTGACAGGAAGCAGTCATCAGTACGCTGGTCACATCAGGGGCCCGTGCTCTAATAACCTCCTTCACTGACCCAGGATCTACTTTCTGTCGCTGCAGGATACGTTTCACCACCACTGGAGGGAGGGGAACCTGGCATCGGCGGCGAGGTGTGAGGTTTGTCGGCGTTCCTGTGGTTCCTCTGACGTCATGGCGGGAATGAGGTGCGAGTGGTGCGGCATCACGGTAAGAACCCCCCCCCCCCAAAAGTCCCACGTTTACTGTGTGTCAACCAGGGTTATTATAGTTTAATAGTTTAAATTTTTTTTGCGTTTTGACTTTTTGTTTTCAAGTTTTCCGTTTCTTTTAAAGTGGGTTTGCTGGTTTAGTTTTTATCTTTTGGAAAATGCTCAGTTTTAGCTGTTTTTGTCCATCACGCTGCCTGAACTGCGTTTAGCTTCTGTTTTGGGGGAGCGGGGCTCGCCGTTCTCCGTTAGCTCGTTAAGCTAAGCTAGGATAGCCTTCTTGTGTAAGCTTTTCAAATTGGTGGGATTTTTCATCCTTGTGAAACGTAACACAGATTTTATCACCGTCTGTCGTGAGCTGCCTGCTCAGGCCCATCCACACTACTGCGTTTTAGTTTTAAAGCAACGACCTTTTGCTGCGTTTGCTCCTCCCGTCCAGAAGAAAATGGCAAAAACCAAGACCTAAAAGCGAGAAGTTTGAAAACGCTTTAAACGTTTAAATTTCCGGGTAGCGTTTTAGTGAAGACGGACAAAAACGGTGGACTTTAGAAACGATGACGCTCACGCTCGGCTCTCTGATTGGGTCTCATCAGTCATGCAGAGCAGAAACACGATGCTGCTGACAGAGTTTTTGATTTGGCATTTTTATTATAATATTCTGTACCGTGTAAACAACACTTACAGCCTACACTTGTACTGTGCATGTCGCCGTTTACTTTGCAACAACTTCCAGTCTGTTTTCCGCCACCACCGCTTTTCAGAATCAGAAGGAGCTTTATTGCCAAGTACTGTTTTACACATACGAGGAATTTGCTGTGGTGATGAGGTGCTACACGCAGACAAACATACAGCTGACATAAATGTAGAAATATATAAATATGGAATGGAAGAACAACGTTGCAGATAAATACATGTGCATTATTCTGCGTCTGTGCTGTGCAGAAGTAACGCAACGGAAGAGAATATTGTGTACATAGAAATATATAAACTGACAACATAAAAATATACAACAAAAATCAACAATCAACAACAATTTTTTTTTTACATTCAGTAACAGTCGTTATTGGTCCATGCAAATAAAAATTTGGTTAATGTACTACTATATTCTTTCGCCTAATCTTCTGTAACCACGGAACGCACGCCCAGCGTACCTGAACGCCCACTAGATGTGCGTTTTCAGTCGTTTTAATGTAGACAGAGATCAACTCTGGTACTCTGCTGAAACGCTGCTGTGCTTTGTTTAAAACGGAGTAGTGTGGATGGGGCCTGAGGCAGTCATATTCAGAGTAATCCCGAATGGGACTTTCTCCAGACTTTCACCGCCAAGATGCAAAGTGAGGGGGGGCGTGGCCTAAAAACTGGCACAGGTAAGAAATTGGAAGGTAGATTTTAGGCCCTGTGGAATAAATTAACAAAGACAAAAACTAAAGACCTTCACTTTGTAATTTCAGTTTATTTTAGTTGGTTTTGCAAACAGGTGAAACAGTTCCAGTTGGTAACGGAAGCTCATCAGAGCAATAAATTCCACGAGCAGAAAATGTTTGGGTGATGTTCTCTGTCCTGTTCCTCTCAGGCTGAATACAGTCTGCTCTGTACAGGCGCTTTATGCAGCACCTGAGAGGAAGAGTGCCGGCCGACTCACCTCATCTTCACCCCCCACTAACATCTGAAACCAAACATGCACCCTTGTGTCTTAGAGCGGCCCTGTTGCAGAGATATAAACATAATTATTATAATTTGTTTGATGATATATATTGTTATCGTTATATTGGGAGTCAGATGTTCTGACTGATGCCACTCTCATGTCTGTACGTTCAATATGAAGCTACAGACAGCAGGTGGTTAGCTTAGCTTAGCATAAAGACAGCTAGCCTGGCTCTGTGCAAAGGGAACAAAATCTACCTATCAGCAATGTCTTGTTTGTTTCATCTTTGCAAAAACCTTGAAGCAGTGATCCTCTGGAGTGGATGTGAGGTGGAAGAAGTATTCTGACCCAAACGTTCTGATACCACACTGTAAAAATACTCACAAGTAAAAAAGTTACAAGTAAAAGTACTGCATTGAAAATGTTAAGTATAATCAGGAAAATGTACTTAAAGTATTAAAACTAAAAGTACTCGATGCAGAAAGTAAAATGTGTGTTTTACTATTATATATCATTACATCATTAGATTATTATTCCTCATGCATTCATATAAAGCAGGATTTTACTGCTGTAGCTGTTTGAGGTTGAACTATTTTGCATCAGACTGATGATTCTTTTTCTTTCTGGATCAATCAGCTGATTATTTTCTCCATTAATTGATTGTAACCGTTCTGTAAATAGTGAGAAATGTTGTCCCAGTTGCTCAGAGCCCAAAGAGACTCCAGTCAGTCCAAACCTCAAACTGATCAAAAACACGTTAAAATAATAAAAAGGAAAAGCAGCAAATCTTCACATGAAGTGTTTTTACATGAAAAATAGTATTTCCAGTTAAATTTCTGCCAATGAACTAATGTACCGGCTGTACTTGTATTTATATATGTACTTGTGTTTAATTTATAACTAAACATCATCTTTTATAAACTCTGACTTTGTAAAGTAACTGAAGCTGTCAGATAAATGTGGTGAAGTAAGAAGTCCAACATCAGGAGGAGAAAATACTCAAGTAAAGTACAAGTACCTCTAATTTGTACTTAAATACAATGCTTTAGTAAATGTACTTAGTTTCCGTCCACCACTGTATTTCTTTATTCAGGACGACAGACATTAATCAACATTTCTGTGACAGAGTTAACCAGCTGGCTGATCGGCGAGATGTTTAGAAACCTTCAAAGTGATAAAAAGTTACAGGTCGAGCACATTAAAAGGCCATAAAGACAGTAACAGCAACAAAACAAGAATTCTCAAGAACATAAACCATGCAGAGCAACAGGAAATAACAACAAAGACCATTTCTGCACAGATAGCCACACGAAACAACAGCACAGCCTTCTTCTGGTGCACGCAGAGCAGCAGTGAACAGTATGAACAGCAAGTAAAATCGTCATGTTGATCTGTATAAAAATGTTAAAACATGCATGTTAGTAAAATGGTAACGTACAGCAGTATAGGAGAACATAGCAGATTAAAGTACTAGTAAATATTCCAAACGCACCACAGCAATGCAAAGATGGCCGCCTGGCAACTGAGAATTTACTTCACTTTGTTATTTATACATTATTTAATTTAGTACAAGTAATACCAGTGTTTTGAAGGTTACTTTGGAAATTTTAAAGTTTATCGATTACGAGTTACCTGATTTAAAATGTAATAGTAGTGTAACTATGCAATTACTTTATCAAAGTACCGTAACTTTTCAATTCAATTACTTTTTTACTTCATTCATTACTTTTCTACGGAAGCCCTAAGCATTTTTTTACTCTGTTTTCTCGTGATCTCGCGATAACAAAACAGTAGTTTAACACAGTGGTAACTTCAGTGTGACTGTCACGGTCACAGGACTCATAGCCTACACTGAACACCAACTTTTATTTATTTTATTCTTTCATAATCCCCTTTAACAAAGGTCTCATGAAGAGACTGATTCATGTGTTCACAATAAAGCGCGTGCTGGACTGTGCGCGTCCCGGCGATTGGTCCTCATCCCTCAGCCTATGGACTTTTCATTTCCCCATCATTCCCCGGCAGAGGAAGTTCCTGCGTTTCTCATTCAGGGGAATCCATTTAACGTTGCACATTTCCTGTCGGCTACTTCAGAACCTTTGAAATAACCCTCGGGAAATTTGTGATTGGATAACCCTGAATCTATTCATCACAACTTTGTTGAAGAGGATGATAAAAAAACACACAAAAGAAGAAAGAAAAAGTTGTTTCGGAGTCGAACCCGCGCTCTACCAACTGAGCTAACGGAAATGATCCCAAAGAAACTTCCGTACATTTCTACATTTCTAATGAACGTTTTAAATGTTTAAATGCGTTTTCTAAAGACAGCTTGAGAGGCAGTCTAACTGGCAGACGGGCAGTGCTGCAAATTCAACCATGAGAACCAATCAAACTTTACTTTTCACCGGCTGGAAACAGCAAAGGAAGACATTGTGCACATTAAAAACATGCAGAGACAAAATTTATATTATTATAACATATAGCCGAGCTTTACGGGAAATATTCAGATGTTACCTCCAGAGGGATCATGAACATTTTCATATGTAAATGCAATTTAATCAGACATTTTAGTAACAGATACAGTTACATTTTTTGGTGTGAAAATAAGTACGTAATGAGTAATACTGCTATTATTTTGAAGTCTCATTTCAAAGTCATCTGTTAGTCTCGTTGGGCTGCTGACAAGCAACAAGCCTGGACATTTTAAATGCTCGGGTAAATTAGTTTTACTCTGGTCACGATGGACTTTGATGTGTACGGTAATCAGACTTCTCTTTTTCCTGTCAAAACCTGGTTCCAACTCCTTTCTTGTTGTAGTTTGTGCTCACATGCGGTAGTTTGTGTAAATATAATGAAGCTGCCGACTACACAACCGACTGGAACTTGGAGTTGACAGGGGCCCGACCTGCAAATGTTTTCCCAAGGGCCCTGAACCACCCTCGCAATTAAACATAAAAAGTGGGGAAAAAAGACAAAAACATCTTCCAGCTCCGTTAAACACCCAGATTCATCTCTGAACCACTGATCACTGATCGTCCTGTCTGTCGTCTCTGCAGAGCCATGCGGCGTGTTACCTCAGCGTGCCACCAGAGTGCACTCTGGGACGTCTGCGCTCCATGCTGCTGCATCCGGCCTGCGTACGCCTCGACTCCAGAAACTTCAGCAAGATGCACTGTTACCGCATCAGTGAGAGCTGCAGCCAGGACCTGGGTATGAACACACACACCTCCAAACCACATCCTCTGCTGCTGACACAAACCACACAGAGACACTCGCCTCATTTCCTGACAGCTTCGCTCTGCTCGTCTGAGCTGTGAAACTAAAATTGAGGTTTTTCACAGTGTTAATGATGAAAACTGTTTCTGTGAAGCTCTTCTTTAACAAACGTTTGTCGTCCATTCACTCGGCCTGCAGAGTTAAATTCATCAGCTCGGATTTGAAGGAGGGAACAAGTTGATTAAACAAAAGAAGAAACTGCAGAGTGAGACTCTGCCAGCAGCAGGAGGTTCAAACATATCACTTCTTCATGAATTTAACAAGTGAAACTGAAGCTGCGTCTCAATTCAGATACTTCCGTTAGTACACTAACATGCAGTACACTGTGTACAATGTGTACTTACTTGCGTAGTGGATGTGGTGAACTTACCGGAAATGACGATAAAAACGTTAAATCTTCTTCTGTTTACCTGGGCGGAACATTATCACGATCATTTGACCCCTCCAGGTCGCCAATTTCACAAGTTTAAAAATACGTAGCCGAGACGGCCGCCGTTGGGGGTGAGAAGTGTCCAGCGTTCCACACTCAATATTCTGATAGCTTCTTTTATGTGTGAGTGTAATGAAGAGACACACGACTCCGGTTCTTAACAAATTTAATACCAAACTGGACAAAACCATCCAGTTCTTAAAAGCACTCCAGCACAGAGAAAGAAAGAAACCGGAAACAGTTTGCCAGGTCTGGAAACCGAAGGGGGCACCTCCAGCGCTGACGGAAATTAAAACATTTCCAGCCAACAAGAGGTCGGCTCGCTCGTTTTTTAACGAGCTTTATTACCTGTTGTAATCAGCTGTTTGTTTTGGAGAGGAGGAGACCAACTTCTGCTCCTTGTAAAAACCTCCTGACTGATGAAAACTTCAGTCTCACTCCATCAGCTGTAAACACACCGCAGGACTCGCTGCACACCGGCTGCTGTTTCCGAGCCATTAGTACGATGCAGATGCACGATGTCAGGCGGACATCGGCGAGACTTCTCTGGCTATCTGGGTGTTGATTGTGACTTATTGGTTTGCAAAAGCAGTAGCAGCAAAGTGGATTTAAAACACCCAAAATCCTTGACTTAAGGCCACAATCCCGGGGACCTGCGGGGACCTGCGGGGACCTGGGGGTGTAAAATAAAGTCCCCGGAACTATTTTAAACTGATGTTAAAGTTCCTGCAGTGGAAACACGGCTAGAGTGCACTGCATTCTGACACGCTTCTCGGTGTGGACACACTTATGCACTCAAAATAGCAAGTGTGACTGCAGAAGGACCAGAGTTGACACCCTGCAGAAGACAAAAACTACATGCAAGTAAAATGTTAGATTAAAACCAGATTTAAATCAGATATCATAAGACAAGAATATGAAGATCATGTCTGTCTTTGTCCTTTATTTATTTACCAGGTTAAAGTCTCACTAAGATTAAAACTTCTTTTTCAAGCAAGACGCAGCCAAGAAGGCAGCATCAGTACAGCACAGCAGCATGAACCGGCTGAAAATATTCAGTTCAGGTGGTTAAAGCTTCAAAAACACCGAACAACACTGACTCGAACTGATTCGGTCCTCCAGCCGCTGGAGACATTTCTTTTCTGTGTTTTGTGCACCGCCATGCGTCACTGAAGGAAGTCCTTGTTTCATTTCAGATAACTCGGATGAAATTGATGCGTCTGCTGCTGTGTCTAAAGACGGTCAGCCGGCTGCTCCAGAGTCAGGTCAGTGTTCAGTCCCGGTCAGATCAGAGGCGAGATGAAAACAGGAGGAGTCATGCATTAAAATATTCCAGAGTAGAAGTTGAAGGTTGTGTAAAAGTGTGTGTATATAATATAAATATAATAAATATATAATAAATTTTTAACACGCACGCACGCTTACTGTTTTATTTATTTTATTTAAAAAAAAATTCTATATTTTTATTTTTTTAACACACAAACACACGCACGCTTACTGTTTTATTTATTTAATTTAAATTTTTAATATCTTTTTATTTATTTAAAACAAACACACACACGCTTTAATTACTTGTTTAGTGAAATGTATGGGGTTGATTGTTCTTATGTCGTTTGTATGAAGCTTTGTCAATATTGTTGTTGGATTCATGCCAAGAAAGCTCATTTGAATTGAATTTGAATTGTGTGTGTGTGTGTGTGTGTGTGTGTGTGCGTGCGTGTGCGCGTGTGTGTGTGCGTGCGTGCGTGTGTGCGTGCGTGTGTGTGTGTGTGTGTGTGTGTGCGTGCGTGTGTGTGTGTGTGTGTGTGTGCGTGTGTGTGTGTGTGTGTGTTCTGACCAGCAGGGAAACAGTTCCTGAAGGTGTTTGACGGTGATGATGCAGTCAAGCGCGGCTTCTACCGATTGGTCTCCATCATTCGAGCCACAAGGAATGAGGAAGTGGTGGTGAGCACTCGGCCCCTTCCCTAAAACATTTCACACCCACTACTACTGCTATTTTTAGTACTGTCACTACTACTACTCTACTACTACTACTACTGCCACTATCACTTCCACTGCTACTGCTAGAGTACTACTACTGCTAGTTTTATAACTACTATCACTACTACTACTGATGGAGTACTACTACTGCTAGTTTTAGTACTGTCACTACTACTACTCTACTACTACTACTACTGCCACTATCACTTCCACTGCTACTGCTGGAGTACTACTACTGCTAGTTTTATAACTACTATCACTACTACTACTGATGGAGTACTACTACTGCTAGTTTTATAACTACTATCACTACTACTACTGCTAGAGTACTACTACTGCTAGTTTTATAACTACTATCACTACTACTACTGATGGAGTACTACTACTGCTAGTTTTATAACTACTATCACTACTACTACTGCCACTATCACTTCCACTGCTACTACTAGAGTACTACTACTGCTAGAGTACTACTACTGCTAGTTTTATAACTACTATCACTACTACTACTGCTGGAGTACTACTACTGCTAGTTTTATAACTACTATCACTACTACTACTGCTGGAGTACTACTACTGCTAGTTTTATAACTACTATCACTACTACTACTGATGGAGTACTACTACTGCTAGTTTTATAACTACTATCACTACTACTACTGCCACTATCACTTCCACTGCTACTGCTGGAGTACTACTACTGCTAGTTTTATAACTACTATCACTACTACTACTGCTGGAGTACTACTACTGCTAGTTTTATAACTACTATCACTACTACTACTGCTGGAGTACTACTACTGCTAGTTTTATAACTACTATCACTACTACTACTGATGGAGTACTACTACTGCTAGTTTTATAACTACTATCACTACTACTACTGCCACTATCACTTCCACTGCTACTGCTGGAGTACTACTACTGCTAGTTTTATAACTACTATCACTACTACTACTGCTAGAGTACTACTACTGCTAGTTTTATAACTACTATCACTACTACTACTGCTAGAGTACTACTACTGCTAGTTTTATAACTACTATCACTACTACTACTGATGGAGTACTACTACTGCTAGTTTTATAACTACTATCACTACTACTACTGCCACTATCACTTCCACTGCTACTACTAGAGTACTACTACTGCTAGAGTACTACTACTGCTAGTTTTATAACTGCTATCACTACTACTACTGCTGGAGTACTACTACTGCTAGTTTTATAACTACTATCACTACTACTACTGCTGGAGTACTACTACTGCTAGTTTTATAACTACTATCACTACTACTACTGCTGGAGTACTACTACTGCTAGTTTTATAACTACTATCACTACTACTACTGCTAGAGTACTACTACTGCTAGAGTACTACTACTGCTAGAGTACTACTACTGCTAGTTTTATAACTGCTATCACTACTACTACTGCTGGAGTACTACTACTGCTAGTTTTATAACTGCTATCACTACTACTACTGCTAGTTTTATAACTGCTATCACTACTACTACTGCTGGAGTACTACTACTGCTAGTTTTATAACTGCTATCACTACTACTACTGCTAGAGTACTACTACTGCTAGTTTTATAACTGCTATCACTACTACTACTGCTAGAGTACTACTACTGCTAGTTTTATAACTGCTATCACTACTACTACTGCCACTATCACTTCCACTGCTACTACTAGAGTACTACTACTGCTAGAGTACTACTACTGCTAGTTTTATAACTACTATCACTACTACTACTGCTGGAGTACTACTACTGCTAGTTTTATAACTACTATCACTACTACTACTGCTGGAGTACTACTACTGCTAGTTTTATAACTACTATCACTACTACTACTGCTAGAGTACTACTACTGCTAGTTTTATAACTACTATCACTACTACTACTGCTAGAGTACTACTACTGCTAGTTTTATAACTATCACTACTACTACTGCTGGAGTACTACTACTGCTAGTTTTATAACTACTATCACTACTACTACTGCTGGAGTACTACTACTGCTAGTTTTATAACTACTATCACTACTACTACTGCTGGAGTACTACTACTGCTAGTTTTATAACTGCTATCACTACTACTACTGCTGGAGTACTACTACTGCTAGTTTTATAACTGCTATCACTACTACTACTGCTAGAGTACTACTACTGCTAGTTTTATAACTGCTATCACTACTACTACTGCTAGAGTACTACTACTGCTAGTTTTATAACTACTATCACTACTACTACTGCTGGAGTACTACTACTGCTAGTTTTATAACTGCTATCACTACTACTACTGCTGGAGTACTACTACTGCTAGTTTTATAACTGCTATCACTACTACTACTGCTAGAGTACTACTACTGCTAGTTTTATAACTGCTATCACTACTACTACTGCTAGAGTACTACTACTGCTAGTTTTATAACTGCTATCACTACTACTACTGCTGGAGTACTACTACTGCTAGTTTTATAACTGCTATCACTACTACTACTGCTGGAGTACTACTACTGCTAGTTTTATAACTACTATCACTACTACTACTAGAGTACTACTACTGCTAGTTTTATAACTACTATCACTACTACTACTGCTAGAGTACTACTACTGCTAGTTTTATAACTGCTATCACTACTACTACTGCTAGAGTACTACTACTGCTAGTTTTATAACTGCTATCACTACTACTACTGCTGGAGTACTACTACTGCTAGTTTTATAACTGCTATCACTACTACTACTGCTAGAGTACTACTACTGCTAGTTTTATAACTACTATCACTACTACTACTGCTGGAGTACTACTACTGCTAGTTTTATAACTACTATCACTACTACTACTGCTGGAGTACTACTACTGCTAGTTTTATAACTACTATCACTACTACTACTGCCACTATCACTTCCACTGCTACTACTAGAGTACTACTACTGCTAGAGTACTACTACTGCTAGTTTTATAACTACTATCACTACTACTACTGCTGGAGTACTACTACTGCTAGTTTTATAACTACTATCACTACTACTACTGCTGGAGTACTACTACTGCTAGTTTTATAACTACTATCACTACTACTACTGCTGGAGTACTACTACTGCTAGTTTTATAACTGCTATCACTACTACTACTGCCACTATCACTTCCACTGCTACTACTAGAGTACTACTACTGCTAGAGTACTACTACTGCTAGTTTTATAACTGCTATCACTACTACTACTGCCACTATCACTTCCACTGCTACTACTAGAGTACTACTACTGCTGCTAGAGTACTACTACTGCTAGAGTACTGCTATAACTTCTACTACTACTGCTAGAGTACTACTACTGCTAGAGTACTACTACTGCTAGAGTACTGCTATCACTTCCACTGCTACTGCTAGAGTACTACTATCACTGCCACTGCTACTGCTAGAGTACTACTACGGCTAGAGTACTACTACTGCTAGAGTACTGCTATCACTTCCACTACTGCTGCTAGAGTACTACTATCACTTCCACTGCTACTGCTAGAGTACTACTACTGCTAGAGTACTACTACTGCTAGAGTACTGCTATCACTTCTACTACTACTGCTAGAGTACTGCTACTGCTAGAGTACTACTACTGCTAGAGTACTGCTATCACTTCTACTACTACTGCTAGAGTACTACTACTGCTAGAGTACTACTACTGCTAGAGTACTGCTATCACTTCCACTGCTACTGCTAGAGTACTACTACTGCTAGAGTACTACTACTGCTAGAGTACTACTACTGCTAGAATACTGCTATCACTTCTACTACTACTGCTAGAGTACTACTGCTGCTAGAGTACTACTATCACTTCCACTGCTACTGCTAGAGTACTACTACTGCTAGAGTACTTCTACTGCTAGAGTACTGCTATCACTTCTACTACTACTGCTAGAGTACTACTACTGCTAGAGTACTACTATCACTTCCACTGCTACTGCTAGAGTACTACTAGAGCTAGAGTACTACTATCACTTCCACTACTACTGCTAGAGTACTACTGCTGCTAGAGTACTGCTATCACTTCCACTGCTACTGCTAGAGTACTACTACTGCTAGAGTACTACTACTGCTAGAGTACTGCTATCACTTCTACTACTACTGCTAGAGTACTACTACTGCTAGAATACTGCTATCACTTCTACTACTACTGCTAGAGTACTACTACTGCTAGAGTACTACTATCACTTCCACTACTACTGCTAGAGTACTACTACTGCTAGAGTACTACTAGAGCTAGAGTACTACTATCACTTCCACTACTACTGCTAGAGTACTACTACTACTAGAGTACTACTACTGCTAGAATACTGCTATCACTTCTACTACTACTGCTAGAGTACTACTACTGCTAGAGTACTACTATCACTTCCACTACTACTGCTAGAGTACTACTACTGCTGGAGTACTACTACTGCTAGTTTTATAACTGCTATCACTACTACTACTGCTGGAGTACTACTACTGCTAGTTTTATAACTACTATCACTACTACTACTAGAGTACTACTACTGCTAGTTTTATAACTACTATCACTACTACTACTGCTAGAGTACTACTACTGCTAGTTTTATAACTGCTATCACTACTACTACTGCTAGAGTACTACTACTGCTAGTTTTATAACTGCTATCACTACTACTACTGCTGGAGTACTACTACTGCTAGTTTTATAACTGCTATCACTACTACTACTGCTAGAGTACTACTACTGCTAGTTTTATAACTGCTATCACTACTACTACTGCTAGAGTACTACTACTGCTAGTTTTATAACTGCTATCACTACTACTACTGCTGGAGTACTACTACTGCTAGTTTTATAACTGCTATCACTACTACTACTGCTAGAGTACTACTACTGCTAGTTTTATAACTGCTATCACTACTACTACTGCTAGAGTACTACTACTGCTAGTTTTATAACTGCTATCACTACTACTACTGCTGGAGTACTACTACTGCTAGTTTTATAACTACTATCACTACTACTACTGCTGGAGTACTACTACTGCTAGTTTTATAACTACTATCACTACTACTACTGCCACTATCACTTCCACTGCTACTACTAGAGTACTACTACTGCTAGAGTACTACTACTGCTAGTTTTATAACTACTATCACTACTACTACTGCTGGAGTACTACTACTGCTAGTTTTATAACTACTATCACTACTACTACTGCTGGAGTACTACTACTGCTAGTTTTATAACTACTATCACTACTACTACTGCTGGAGTACTACTACTGCTAGTTTTATAACTGCTATCACTACTACTACTGCCACTATCACTTCCACTGCTACTACTAGAGTACTACTACTGCTAGAGTACTACTACTGCTAGTTTTATAACTGCTATCACTACTACTACTGCCACTATCACTTCCACTGCTACTACTAGAGTACTACTACTGCTGCTAGAGTACTACTACTGCTAGAGTACTGCTATAACTTCTACTACTACTGCTAGAGTACTACTACTGCTAGAGTACTACTACTGCTAGAGTACTGCTATCACTTCCACTGCTACTGCTAGAGTACTACTATCACTGCCACTGCTACTGCTAGAGTACTACTACGGCTAGAGTACTACTACTGCTAGAGTACTGCTATCACTTCCACTACTGCTGCTAGAGTACTACTATCACTTCCACTACTGCTGCTAGAGTACTGCTATCACTTCCACTGCTACTGCTAGAGTACTACTACTGCTAGAGTACTACTACTGCTAGAGTACTGCTATCACTTCTACTACTACTGCTAGAGTACTGCTACTGCTAGAGTACTACTACTGCTAGAGTACTGCTATCACTTCTACTACTACTGCTAGAGTACTACTACTGCTAGAGTACTACTACTGCTAGAGTACTGCTATCACTTCCACTGCTACTGCTAGAGTACTACTACTGCTAGAGTACTACTACTGCTAGAGTACTACTACTGCTAGAATACTGCTATCACTTCTACTACTACTGCTAGAGTACTACTGCTGCTAGAGTACTACTATCACTTCCACTGCTACTGCTAGAGTACTACTACTGCTAGAGTACTTCTACTGCTAGAGTACTGCTATCACTTCTACTACTACTGCTAGAGTACTACTACTGCTAGAGTACTACTATCACTTCCACTGCTACTGCTAGAGTACTACTAGAGCTAGAGTACTACTATCACTTCCACTACTACTGCTAGAGTACTACTGCTGCTAGAGTACTGCTATCACTTCCACTGCTACTGCTAGAGTACTACTACTGCTAGAGTACTACTACTGCTAGAGTACTGCTATCACTTCTACTACTACTGCTAGAGTACTACTACTGCTAGAATACTGCTATCACTTCTACTACTACTGCTAGAGTACTACTACTGCTAGAGTACTACTATCACTTCCACTACTACTGCTAGAGTACTACTACTGCTAGAGTACTACTAGAGCTAGAGTACTACTATCACTTCCACTACTACTGCTAGAGTACTACTACTACTAGAGTACTACTACTGCTAGAATACTGCTATCACTTCTACTACTACTGCTAGAGTACTACTACTGCTAGAGTACTACTATCACTTCCACTACTACTGCTAGAGTACTACTACTGCTAGAGTACTACTAGAGCTAGAGTACTACTATCACTTCCACTACTACTGCTAGAGTACTACTACTACTAGAGTACTACTACTGCTAGAATACTGCTATCACTTCTACTACTACTGCTAGAGTACTACTACTGCTAGAGTACTACTATCACTTCCACTACTACTGCTAGAGTACTACTACTGCTAGAATACTGCTATCACTTCTACTACTACTGCTAGAGTACTACTACTGCTAGAGTACTACTACTGCTAGAGTACTACTATCACTTCCACTACTACTGCTAGAGTACTACTACTGCTAGAGTACTACTAGAGCTAGAGTACTACTATCACTTCCACTACTACTGCTAGAGTACTACTACTACTAGAGTACTACTACTGCTAGAATACTGCTATCACTTCTACTACTACTGCTAGAGTACTACTACTGCTAGAGTACTACTATCACTTCCACTACTACTGCTAGAGTACTACTACTGCTAGAGTACTACTACTGCTAGAGTACTACTAGAGCTAGAGTACTACTATCACTTCCACTACTACTGCTAGAGTACTACTACTGCTAGAGTACTACTAGAGCTAGAGTACTACTATCACTTCCACTACTACTGCTAGAGTACTACTACTGCTAGAGTACTACTACTGCTAGAGTACTACTATCACTTCCACTACTACTGCTAGAGTACTACTACTGCTAGAGTACTACTAGAGCTAGAGTACTACTATCACTTCCACTACTACTGCTAGAGTACTACTACTACTAGAGTACTACTACTGCTAGAATACTGCTATCACTTCTACTACTACTGCTAGAGTACTACTACTGCTAGAGTACTACTATCACTTCCACTACTACTGCTAGAGTACTACTACTGCTAGAATACTGCTATCACTTCTACTACTACTGCTAGAGTACTACTACTGCTAGAGTACTACTACTGCTAGAGTACTACTACTGCTAGAGTACTACTATCACTTCCACTACTACTGCTAGAGTACTACTACTGCTAGAGTACTACTAGAGCTAGAGTACTACTATCACTTCCACTACTACTGCTAGAGTACTACTACTACTAGAGTACTACTACTGCTAGAATACTGCTATCACTTCTACTACTACTGCTAGAGTACTACTACTGCTAGAGTACTACTATCACTTCCACTACTACTGCTAGAGTACTACTACTGCTAGAGTACTACTACTGCTAGAGTACTACTAGAGCTAGAGTACTACTATCACTTCCACTACTACTGCTAGAGTACTACTACTGCTAGAGTACTACTAGAGCTAGAGTACTACTATCACTTCCACTACTACTGCTAGAGTACTACTACTGCTAGAGTACTACTAGAGCTGTTACCACCACCGCTGTACCTGTGTTGTCCTGCAGGAGGCGGCGCTGAGGGCCTTCTACCTCCCCGATGAACCTCAGGACTTCGAGCTGCACGAGATTGGCGGCGTGCAGCGTCTCCATAGCGACGACATCCTGAACCGTAACGGCGGTCCTGACAACAGGGGCTCTCTGAAGGACGGAGGTGAGGCCTGGCAGCTCAGGGCCAAACCCCGAGACTCTGAGGTCATCAAGGTGTACCCAGGCTGGCCCAGGTGAGACCAGCTGAACTAGTAAACTGTCTCTCTACCAGTTCTGCTCAGACGTACTGGCGTTTTTTCCACGTACCTGCTGTGTGTTTCAGGTCGGGCGCACCTTTCGTCTCCGCCACCGCCTCTAAGGACAGCACGGCAGCTTCAGTCCTCGCCGAGGTCTTCAGTCAGCTCAACAGAACGGTGATTTTAATTCTCCAGAGAAGTTTAACCAGATCAGAAACAAAAGTGAAAACCTCACAAATACTCCAGAGAATCACCTGCTCAACGTACTACCAGTGGTGGACAGTAATTAAGTATTTGTACTTTCCTTGAGTACTTTCTTTGAGTATTTTCCCCTCCTGCTCCGTCTCAGAGGGAGATGTTGGACTTTTTACTTCACCACATTTATCTGACAGCTTCAGTTACTTTACAAAGTCAGATTTTTACACACGAAGAGTTTATAAAAGATGTTTAGTTATAAATTAAACTCCAACAGTTTATACAGATACAGCTGGAACATCAGGTGGTTGACAGAAATTTAATTAATAAGTATTTTGATAATTTTTTCTTATGTTCCAGCTTCACACGTGAAGATTCTGCTTTTCCTTTTGATTATTAAGTTAATGACTGACTGACTGAGAACAAACATCAATTAATGGAGAAAATGATCAGCAGATTAATCCATAATGATATAATAAAAATATATAATAAATAAAGGGTGGAGCTAGCTAGTACATTAACTGTGGGATACCAATACAGGCAAACTGGCTTAAAACAAAATGAGCCGCCGACTCCTGATGACTGTGTGTTGTTTCAGGGGGAAGACGCGTCCTGTTTCAGCCTGCAGGAGGTCTGCATGAGCAGCAAGCAAGGTGAGCAGAAGTGTAAAGGATACGTTTGTAAAATGTGTACTATCATTCACAAATATTTCACTCTTCACAAATGTGCAAAAACAGTTTTTTGTGTAGAAATGGATCCACAAATGCGTAAATATCACTTTGTATGTGAACTTAAAATATGTGAGTACAGATTAAATTGTGCATATTTGCAAATCACACTGATTTTACACAATATAAATGTAAAAATACATGTTTTGGGTAGTGAGATCTCTGCAGTACACATTGGACAAAATTCCACAAATGCATAAAAGAGAAGTCACAAATATAATGTGACCTGCAAATTGACAGGAAGTGATCCGCAAATGTGTAAAAACTGTTTTGTGTGTACTCATCGATCTGTATTTTTGTGGATATGATTTTACACAACACAAATGTAAAAAAAACACATTTGTGAATCATAGTACACATTGTGGATTGTCTTCTGTGAGTTACAAATATTATCTTACATAGTTTTGCACATTTTATGAATGTATGGTAACACTAACTTGAAATCTTTAAAGCAAAATCATCATTTTGGACTGAGGCGTCTCGCTCTTAATAATCTTCAGACTGACCTCATTATTAAACAGCATTTATCAAATTGTTGACCCTGCTCCATATTACTAGCTGTAAATATCTATAACAGCGCTACGTGCGAGCTGGTCAGCGAGCTGCAGCCTGTTTTGATGTAGAGATGATGAAACTGTAACGCTGACTTTGAACGGACAGAAGGTCCTGACCTCCCCGTGTCTGTCCTGCAGTGCAGAGACAGACGCTGACTCCTCAGGAGAAGATTCTGGACAAGCTGCAGGAGATCAGGAAGGTAGGAGGAGATACGACCGACTGTTTTTGTCTCATCATCATCATCACAGGCAGTGTCCAGGTCTGAAACTCAAGCAGCTGTTGGACACTTCTTTTAAACTTTATACTCATCGAAAAGCTTCCTAATCATTTTTACTTAAAGGGTCATTTCTGTATTTTTAAACCTGGGCCCTATTCTCACATACGTTGGTGTGGAAAAGGGTTTTGAATCCGTGCAGTAGATGCTTCAGCCGGCAGCTGCAGCGTCTGCAAATTATTCCTTCAGGTCAAAATGGCGTCCACAGAAAGTGCTTCTTGTTGCCAGCGGCAGGCTGTTCAGACCGCCTCTCACGAGATTTCATTGGAGTGTCTGCCACCCTGTCTGCGGCCCGCTAATGCATTACTGTAACTGTTAGGAAGAAGGAGGGCTTCTGAGACAAGACACTAAATGGCCAACATGTATCTGTGATGCATGCAGGAGCTGCAGAAGGGGGGGGGGACTCCTGTAGACTCCTCTCAACAGGAGTCCTTCGCAGGGATCCTTTCCATGATGCTGTCAGAGACCTGGTGTAACAGTCTGAGCCTGTCGCTGGCAACAAGAAGCGCTTTCTGTGGACGCCATTTTCACAAAGGAAGACGGTTGCAGACGGTTCAGCTGCCGGCTGAAGCATCTCCTGCACGGATTCAACACTTTCTGTATCTACGAGTCATTTCAGCACCAACATATGATTAGATTTTTATTTACTGTATCATTTTTCTTTGTATTGGACACCTTCTTATTCCACCTGCACTGTTAGAAAAAGAGGTACAACGCAGGCCCGTTTTTGTTCCCCAAGGAACAAACATAGCAAACGCTCCCTTAAAAGTACAACAATGTGCCTTAAGGGTATAATTATGCACCTTCGATTGTTAATTACAGGTACATTGTGGACTTTATAAGGTGCAAATATTTGTACCTTTCTGTTTAATTGTAAAGGCAGGAACTTGTGGGTGAGCACAGTAAAAACAAAGTATATGTAAATGAATATACTTGTAATGTACTTAATGTTTACTTAACTTAATATTTCAGGTTTTGGTTGTCAAATAATTAAGTAATCTAGTGGTTAAAAAAAAGGAGGTAAAGAAGCATCATTTGAGTGAATGGCATGAAAAATAATCTGTGTACGGATGTTTTTTTGGTTTTTCTGTTTTAAAACCAAAACGGAAAAATATTGATTTTGATATTTAATGTGTCCGATTAGCTTTGTGTTATAACCCTGCAGCAGACACACCTGGGCGATGACGGTGCCTGATTAAATGTAATTAAGATGAGCTTGAACGTCAGCATAAGTGGGTTTTTAGTTAGAAAAACAGGAGGCTCAGCGTTCAGCTTGTAACTCAGTAGCAGCTGGGACAGGAACAGAAGTTGCCTGAGAATCCTCCGGTTTTTAAGATTTCTATAGTGTAAAATGAATTCAGTGATAGTTGTCAGTACATCTAGTGGTACACAGCAAACACAAACTGTTATTAGTTAAACCGGCGAGCTGCATATTAACGAATCATACACGGATTAAAAAGTTGGGGTAATTTTTGTTGCGCCTCTCTGCACTGTTTCCACCTGATCTTTATTTTCTTGGTGAGATGGAAGAATTTAGAAAGTTTTGAGAGCCTCCAGCTGCAGGAACACATGGATTAGGCTGTGCGTATAATCAGGAGCATCGGACTTCATCCAGCCAGGGAGAACGAGCGCTGAGCGTCCAGCGCTTCGGTTCCACTGGCAACAAAACACATAGTAGGTCTACCGGCAGAAAAACTAAAAAACGACTTGTTTTTGTGGTTTTTCTGATTCGGTTTTGAAACAAAATAATCAAAGAACCAAGCGAACACGGATTAAAAATGTCCCTTTGTTTCTGATCTTAATAAATTTCTCTTGGCTGCTGGGTGTTAATCTCTTCTTTGTTTGTAATGAGGCGTTTGTCTCGCCTCACTTTTTATTGTTATTCATTTGAGTGCAGCCTTCGAACTCTGTCGCTGAAATGTCAGACAGGAAAAGGTGTTTCATAGCTGAAAAGAACGTGATGTGGATTTTTCCCAGGTGTCTCTGCGAAACATGAACCAGACTCGGTTTTACATCGTGGAGAACGGGAACCGGGAGGTGCGGGTCAGCCTGCTGATTGGAGGGCTGCCCCCCCTGCTGAGCAAAGAGGAGTACGTCCAGCTGATCCAGGAACACCTGACCATCAAGAGTGAGTTTCAGACCGATTTACCTGAGCGCTGAGCTGGACGGCTTGTAACACAAAGCTCATGTTAGCTCACTGCTTCAGTCTGAGACTGAATATTAATGTTTCTCTCGGCGCCGACTGGTTTGTGTGTGAACACTTCCTGTCTACTCTTCTTCTTCAGCTCACAGCAGGAGCGCTCGTCTAACTCACCTCCGCTCTGCCTCTCTCTCCCTCTGTCTCTGCAGGTCACCTGGTCACCATCAGCCATGTCTATGCCAGTCAAGGTGAGAAAAGCTAAAGTAACTAAAGCTGCAGACGTAGAAAGTGGCATGAAAAGACGAGACTCAAGTTTTTACCTCAAATTTGTACTCCGAAGTATAACAAAGTAATTTATTTCCAACAAAGGATAACCAATATGCAGAAGAGGATTAGGGCCACATGTGAATTTGTTTTTGAGTTCTGAGTTTATTAAAGTCAGAATTCTGAGATTAAAGAATTCTTAAAGTCAAAATTCTGAGATTACAGTCAGAATTCAGAATTCTGAAATTAAAGTCAAAATTCTGAGATTACAGTCAGAATTCAGAATTCTGAAATTAAAGTCAGAATTCTGAGAATTCTGAGATTACAGTCAGAAGAATTCTGAAAAAATAATAATTCACTTTGGGCACTATGAAGCGCATGGCGCAGCTGAGATTAAAGTCAGAATTCTCAGAAGTCAGAATTCTCAGAATTCTGACTTTAAATTCAGAATTCTGAGATTAAAGTCAGTAGAATTCTGAGATTAAAGTCAGTAGAATTCTGAGATTAAAGTCAGAATTCTGAGAATTCTGACTTTAAAGTCAGTAGAATTCTGAGTTTAAAGTCAGAATTGGCCCTAATCCTCTTCCGCACCAATAAATGTAGGGAGAACGTAAAAACAAAGCGTTCTGTGTGAAAATCGGTAAAGTCAGTAGTGAGAGGTGTGAGAGTGAAAGAATGGTGTATGTGGGGGAAAAAAACAAATGAGAACTCAAAACGGCCTCAGCCACATCGGTGACTGGGGACGCCTCTGCGATGAGACGCTGCGCTTCTGCCAGGCTTCAGCAACTGGCACACTGATGAAACTCTTCATGTAGGGAGTCTGCAAATACAGGTGCATCTCAAGGAAAAGTTCAGTGTGAGCAGCAGAAGCAGAGTTTAAAGGCTCAGGACTCTGCAGCTGATCAGAGCTCTTCTCAGGTCGACGCTTCTGTATTATAAATTCTTTATTCTAAAAAGATACTTGGAGATGCTGGAGTTTTGGTTTCCATGAGCTGTGAGCCGTAATCATCAAGATTAAAACCAAAAAAAATAATAATTCACTTTGGGCACTATGAAGCGCATGGCGCAGCTGAGTTTGGGGCGTGTCCAATTTCAATGTTGCTAGTTAAACGGCGGGAAAAAAAAGTCAGTGCGCCGGCGCATGGTTTAAAAGGGTTGTACTTAGTCTGCAAATTAGTCATGGGTGTGTTTGGGGGCGTAACATGCAATAAACCAATCAGAGTGTCATCGCCCTTTAGAAGCCGGGTCCCCAGGAGACGTGACGCCAGCCACAAGCAGAAGCTAGCATGCTTGTATTGACCCGCTGTTTGCTGTGTGTGTTTGTGTGTTCAGGTGCGTTGGCGTTGCAGATCTTGTGTTTCTCTGAAGCGGAGAGGATCTACATGCTGGCGAAAGACACGACTGTCAACAACAAGACGCTCGCTTCCCTCGTCATCCCAGAGATCTTGGTAACAGTCGCTCAGTCAACAACAAACACACTAACCAGCGCTTCAGAAGACAGATACCGCCTCGTGTTTACATAGTAACATCCCTGAAATGTGACGTACGTCAACACGCAGGTCATCCCTGACCACACCCACCTGACTGATGTTTCTGTTTCTTGTCGTCGTCTCTCAGACCAACAGGCTGGGGCTGGACGTCTGTCCTCTGCTGGTGTTTGTCAACCCAAAGAGCGGCGGGCTGAAAGGCAGAGAGCTTCTCTACAGCTTTCGGAAACTTCTGAACCCTCACCAGGTCTTTGACATCTCCAACGGAGGCCCGCTGGCTGGGTGAGAGCAGCCGACACCTCGCAGGAGGGACGACGGCGTCCGTGAATGAAGAAAACGTTTTAAACCTGCGCTCCATGTTCACACATGTTGGTGCTGAGATCTCTCACGAGATTTCAGAGCGAGACTTCAGTGTCCTGTTAAAAACAAAGGGAGTCCCTCGTAGTACAGCTGTGGCCTGTACTACGAAGCGAGGTACTCGGCTTATCCAGGTAACTTCAGGTCTAACTTCCTGATTAACCCGTACTGCTGTGGACAGGTGTTACCCGACGTCTGTTGCCATGGCAATTTACGCCGTCTCTAAACGGCCCCGAGCAGGTTTTGTTCGTCGTTAACTCGAGGTTACCATGGATACGTGGACTACACACCACATCTGTACTCAGCGTTACTGAGGAGAAGTATTAATACACACCATCTGTACTCAGCGTTACTGAGGAGAAGTATTAATACACACATCTGTACTCAGCGTTACTGAGGAGAAGTATTAATACACACATCTGTACTCAGCGTTACTGAGGAGAAGTATTAATACACACCATCTGTACTCAGCGTTACTGAGGAGAAGTATTAATACACACCATCTGTACTCAGCGTTACTGAGGAGAAGTATTAATACACACCATCTGTACTCAGCGTTACTGAGGAGAAGTATTAATACACACCATCTGTACTCAGCGTTACTGAGGAGAAGTATTAATACACACCATCTGTACTCAGCGTTACTGAGGAGAAGTATTAATACACACCATCTGTACTCAGCGTTACTGAGGAGAAGTATTAATACACACATCTGTACTCAGCGTTACTGAGAAGTATTAATACACACATCTGTACTCAGCGTTACTGAGGAGAAGTATTAATACACACCATGTGTACTCAGCGTTACTGAGGAGAAGTATTAATACACACATCTGTACTCAGCGTCACGTTCACACAGCGAGCTCTGCAGCTGAGCTGTGCTTTCAGAGGAATCTTAATTAACTAACGGGCCAGTTTCTTAGATGGAGCCCCTTTAATTAAACTAGTCTAAGTGTTTTCACATATTTAGAGAGACTGTTGAGCCAGAAAAAAACATCCTAGATCAAAGTGTCAAATTTACAAGAGGAAGAATCGTGAATTCCCTGAATCCACAGCAAAGTCTCTGAGGTGCGTGAGGATCTAGAGGGCTGAACTGACGAAGTCTAACTAACTTCCCACCGCATGCAGACGTGTGTGTGTGTGTGTGTGTGTGTGTGATGCTGCAGCCTTGCAAAGTGAAGTTTCTCTCATAAATGTGTGACTATAATGTCAGAGAATATCCGAGTTCTTTCCTGGTAGATTAATCCTGTCTCGGATTATTCCCCCTCTCCGCCGGCTCCTGTTTGTGCAGCTGGACCGTATTACACATAAAATACTTGAGCTACAGTCAGAACACTGGGAAGATGATCAGGCCAACAAGCCTCCCCGGCTCTGTCGGCCGCCACGGTGTTAGATTTAGCGTTAACGTGTCCTCACACAGTATCGACCTGCGTCCCTCTGGGGAAAACACGGAGCGTGCGCCGTTGTGGAAAAACTGCCCCTTTTACGCGAACGCGCACCGACTCGACTAAGCAACATCTGATCCACCGCCAGTGTAGCGGTCAGTTTGGTCACCCTGAGTTACTCTGAGCAGCTTGGACTCCCTTCGCAGTGCGGGACACAGGGGTTACGGTCTGAGCCTGTCGCCAGCAACAAGAAGCTCCTTCTGTGGACGCCGTTGTGACGAAGGAATCCACAGCAGCGCAGATTCAAAACTTTCTGTACCTACGAGTCATTTCAGCACCAACATGTGGAAACAGGTTTAAAAGTCCTGAAATCACCCTTTAATCTTTCAGGCATCATTTTGGGGATTTTGTGTGTTTTAGCTCTTTAAATATAAATCAGGTCAACGTTTGTTTCAGTTCATTTCACTCTTCACTTTCAAACATTTATACACATTATTAAAAAATCCATAAAGTCTAAGTTTAAACAACAATTTTCATGATCGCTGCTCAGACACTGTAGTTACCTGGTTACGTGCAGCTGATCAGTAATCAGATTACTCTACTACACCCAGCCTTATCGTGGTGGCTTACTGTGTTTTGAACAGTAGTGTGCAGCTTTCCGTTCGTTATTTCTCTGCTCTCATTACAAAAATCAGAGAAGATGTTTCTGACGTTCCCTGTTCTTCTTCTCTGGTCCAGCCTCCATACGTTCCGAGAGGTTCCCAGGTTTCGGGTGCTGGTCTGCGGGGGCGACGGGACGGTGGGCTGGGTGCTGGGAGTACTGGAGGCTGTCCGGCACAAACTGGTCTGTCGAGAGCCGCCCATCGGCATCGTGCCACTGGGGACAGGTCAGAGCGACGCTGCTGGATTTCCATCTCATCGCTTACTTTAGAGGAGGTCCTGCGGGGCGGGCCGCGGACTCTGCTGAGGTTCAGTATCTGCTCACGTCTGTCCTCTCTCGTCAGGTAACGACTTGTCTCGTGTGCTGCGCTGGGGAGCAGGTTACAGCGGCGAGGACCCGCACCACATCCTGGTCTCTGTGGACGAGGCAGACGAGGTTCTGATGGACCGGTGGACCATCCTGCTGGACGCCCAGGATATGTCTGAAGACAGCAAGGACAACGGCTTCCTGGAGCCGCCCAAGGTCTGGTCCAGGTCCTACCGGACAGTCCGGACCATTAAGTCACACGAAGTGACTCCAGTCCTCATGTTGTGTTTGATATTTTGAGAAAAGAATTTATTGGGAAAAAAAGTTGATATATTTCAAGAAAATTCAGACTTTTTCAAAATATAATCAACTTTCTTCACGTAATGTTTTCTCCAAATTCCGAAATATTTCAACTTTATTCATGTTCATTTATGTTTTCTTCTGATCTGAAGTTAGTTTTTCACTAGAATATTTAGTTGCAACACAAATGCAAAGAATTTGAGGATTAATACTTGTGGTCATCCAGCTGAGCTAAGTTCATTTAAAATAGCACCTTTCACAGAACACAAGTCACAAAGTGCTTTACAAGAGTAAAATATTAAAAATAAATGACAATGTAGAGAAATAGTAATAAATAATATTCAATCAAGCTACAGTGAATTTTGACCAACCTTGATATTAATTTAATAACCTTTTTAATCAATCGTTTCACCGTCCAGCCTCTCCACATTTCATTTAATGTTATGTTTAATTCACGTAGCATCTCTACATGTAGATCAGACTTCACTGGAACAGCTTTAAATGTCTCTTCGTCTCTCAGATCGTGCAGATGAACAACTACTTCGGTCTCGGCATCGACGCGGAGCTCAGCCTCGACTTCCACCAGGCGCGAGAGGACGATCCCGATAAATTCACCAGCAGGTAAAACTTCAGTTCATGCAGACACAGCCGAGGCATGTTTCTGCAAATACACACTATGGAGCTGCAACGTAAATGGGAATTTTTCCTGGTTAGTTTCCTCCTCTCTGACACTGAAGTGAATACATGACGTTTGAGGAGGTCATCTCTTATCTGATCTTTTTCTTTACTCCCACAGGTTCCATAACAAAGGAGTGTATGTGAAGGTCGGGCTGCAAAAGATGAGCTACAGTCGGAGTCTCCACAAAGAGCTGCAGCTCCAGGTGGACACTCAGAACGTCCCGTTACCCAACATAGAGGGGCTGATCTTCCTCAATATACCCAGGTAAGGGGCACCTGGCAGAGTCCTGACCTTCGCTGTCAGATAAAGCAGAAAGGCCAAAAATAATCTTTATAGATATATAAAATATACACACACATTATGCAAGGCACAATGTTGTTTATTTGTTGTACAACACAACGAAACAGGTAATGAAATGTAAATTAAAAACAAAATAAATAGAAAACATTGCATACAGTTATTTATATTCTCCCCAGAGTGTAGACGTGTAGGTATATAAACAGCAGCGACAACATGATAATCTGGTTTCATCATTAAACAGTCATTTAGGAATCTTAAACTGACGGCTCGGAACATGGACCACCTGCGAGTGCTTGATCCGGGATGTTGATGTGGCAGGTCTCTGTAACGTCGTGGGCTGAACAGCCTCTGATTTCCGCTTATTTTCCAGCATTAGTCCCATTTTGTCCAGACCGGACCTTTAGGAGCAGAATTAAGTCCAAGCTGGACCAACATGGCTCCTGTCCCGGCCCTCTTTCCTCTCCTCTGAGCGATCAGCACACCCGCCGTGGTCCCGTTGTTCTGGCTGCTGGATCACCTGAGGTCCGCTGCTCTTTAATCCAAAAACCCCGTCTTCCTTTTCCATTGGCTGTATTTCCGTCAGAGGAAACGCGTGTTTTAGCAATAAGCAGGAAAAAACAGATGAAAAACAAACGGCGAAGTGAAGTTTAACGGGACTAACGGCTGCTGCTTCTACAAGCAACGTGACCTTACACATGTCTTCCTGTGTGTGTGTGTGTGTGTGTGTGTAGTTGGGGTTCTGGTGCTGATCTCTGGGGGTCAGAGGTCGATGGCCGCCATGGGAAACCACGTATTGATGACGGCCTGGTGGAGGTGGTCGGGGTGACCGGGGTCGTCCACATGGTGAGATAAAACGTAACGAACACACAACTTGAGGTTCACGAACTGGCCTTTTCCAGAGCTTTTAACCGAGTGTGTGTGTGCAGGGCCAGGTGCAGAGCGGTATGCGGTCAGGGATTCGTATCGCTCAAGGGAACTACATCAGGCTGACTGTGAGCAAACCCATACCTGTCCAGGTGGACGGAGAACCGTGGATCCAGCCGCCGGGACACATCATCATCTCTGCTGCTGGACCAAAGGTGATTTACCTGTGCTACATTCTGTGTAGATGATGTGTAATATTATTGTTTGGTACACTGTGTGTGTACACCAAGCGGAAACCTCCGGGTCTGAAAAGTGAAGCCAACGTTTAAGAGCCTTAAACCTGCGTCCTCTCCAGCAGCCAGCAGGGGGCGACTTAAACCTGCGTCCTCTCCAGCAGCCAGCAGGGGGCGACTTAAACCTGCGTCCTCTCCAGCAGCCAGCAGGGGGCGACTTAAACCTGCGTCCTCTCCAGCGGCCAGCAGGGGGCGACTTAAACCTGCGTCCTCTCTAGCAGCCAGCAGGGGGCGACTTAAACCTGCGTCCTCTCCAGCAGCCAGCAGGGGGCGACTTAAACCTGCGTCCTCTCTAGCAGCCAGCAGGGGGCGACTTAAACCTGCGTCCTCTCCAGCAGCCAGCAGGGGGCGACTTAAACCTGCGTCCTCTCCAGCGGCCAGCAGGGGGCGCCTTAAACCTGCGTCCTCTCCAGCGGCCAGCAGGGGGCGACTTAAACCTGCGTCCTCTCTAGCAGCCAGCAGGGGGCGACTTAAACCTGCGTCCTCTCTAGCAGCCAGCAGGGGGCGACTTAAACCTGCGTCCTCTCTAGCAGCCAGCAGGGGGCGACTTAAACCTGCGTCCTCTCTAGCAGCCAGCAGGGGGCGCCTTAAACCTGCGTCCTCTCTAGCAGCCAGCAGGGGGCGACTTAAACCTGCATCCTCTCTAGCAGGGGGCGCCTTAAACCTGCGTCCTCTCTAGCAGCCAGCAGGGGGCCACTTAAACCTGCGTCCTCTCTAGCAGCCAGCAGGGGGCGCCTTAAACCTGCGTCCTCTCTAGCAGCCAGCAGGGGGCGCCTTAAACCTGCGTCCTCTCTAGCAGCCAGCAGGGGGCGCCTTAAACCTGCGTCCTCTCTAGCGGCCAGCAGGGGGCAACTTAAACCTGCGTCCTCTCCAGCATCCAGCAGGGGGCGACTTAAACCTGCGTCCTCTCCAGCATCCAGCAGGGGGCGCCTTAAACCTGCGTCCTCTCTAGCGGCCAGCAGGGGGCAACTTAAACCTGCGTCCTCTCCAGCAGCCAGCAGGGGGCGACTTAAACCTGCGTCCTCTCCAGCATCCAGCAGGGGGCGACTTAAACCTGCGTCCTCTCTAGCAGCCAGCAGGGGGCGACTTAAACCTGCGTCCTCTCTAGCAGCCAGCAGGGGGCGCCTTAAACCTGCGTCCTCTCTAGCAGCCAGCAGGGGGCGCCTTAAACCTGCGTCCTCTCTAGCAGCCAGCAGGGGGCGCCTTAAACCTGCGTCCTCTCTAGCGGCCAGCAGGGGGCAACTTAAACCTGCGTCCTCTCCAGCATCCAGCAGGGGGCGACTTAAACCTGCGTCCTCTCTAGCAGCCAGCAGGGGGCGCCTTAAACCTGCGTCCTCTCTAGCAGCTAGCAGGGGGCGACTTAAACCTGCGTCCTCTCTAGCAGCCAGCAGGGGGCGACTTAAACCTGCGTCCTCTCCAGCAGCCAGCAGGGGGCGCCTTAAACCTGCGTCCTCTCTAGCGGCCAGCAGGGGGCAACTTAAACCTGCGTCCTCTCCAGCATCCAGCAGGGGGCGACTTAAACCTGCGTCCTCTCTAGCAGCCAGCAGGGGGCGCCTTAAACCTGCGTCCTCTCTAGCAGCTAGCAGGGGGCGACTTAAACCTGCGTCCTCTCCAGCAGCCAGCAGGGGGCGACTTAAACCTGCGTCCTCTCTAGCAGCCAGCAGGGGGCGACTTAAACCTGCGTCCTCTCTAGCGGCCAGCAGGGGGCGACTTAAACCTGCGTCCTCTCTAGCAGCCAGCAGGGGGCAACTTAAACCTGCGTCCTCTCTAGCAGCCAGCAGGGGGCGACTTAAACCTGCGTCCTCTCTAGCGGCCAGCAGGGGGGCTCCATTAGAAATAACGGTGAAATGTTTCTACTTGTGAGCTGATTTATTCCCTCAGTAAACACTTTCCTGATGAGTTTCTGTTCTCAGTCGCTAGTTTCAAGTCTTCTTCAACACAGCATGATGTTCTTTAGTAAATTATGGTCCCATTTAGAGGAACAGAGACCAGGAAGCAGGGGAGGCTTTAGGGCGGGGCTACAAGATCTGCTGCTCAGTGTACGTTTAACCAGCGCCGCTGAAAAAGCTCATCAGGAGTCGGCTGCTCATTTTTCAGGAAGTACCTTTTGTTTTAAGCCTGTTTGTCGCTAGCTAAAATTAGCATCCCAGCTAATATCATAGTTAACATGAATTACAGATGCACTATGCTAACCAAGCTAGCGAGCTCTACCCTCTTTCCAAATATGTTCACCTGCAACATGGCGGCAACCAAACTGCCAAACTCGAGGCTTCAAGACGGCAGCCCACAAACCAACGGGTGATGCCACGGCGGCTACGCTCAGCTCTTCTATACCGTCTGTTCTACGCCTGTAGTTTATGTGAACTTGTGCTGTGTCTGTAGGTTCGGATGCTGAGGAAGTCCAAGCAGAAGCAGAAGAAGTCATCGGCTAGTGTGAAGGATGGACGTTCTGAGAGTCCGTCCACCAGAGACGGAGGACACCGACCAACCTGAATATCAGTGTCCCGCCTTTTACCTGCTTCCTGCTGCACCTGGGAAGCCGTTTTGGTGCCAGCTGGGATTTCACTCATGCAGCTTTGTAGCGACGCTGACGGGCCGCAGATCGACTTGGACTCTGAAGGAGGTTTAACGTTTACATTCCTGCACGTGGTGGGAGGAACTCCTGGGCTTCTGTTCTGCTGACCGAGCACTTAGAGTTCACAATAACCACGGTTAATAATCTAACTAAAGCTTTTTTTACTTAACATCCAAGAGTAACAAGAAATTAATCAATTCATAATAGGATTTAATTGGAACAAGGAGTTGAATTTTAAAAAGAAGAGAAATCGAGAAAAGTATTTAACAGAAGTTGTTGTTGCTGTAAATGTACAGTACGTAGCAGTAGACTCGGTGTCCATTGATTTTGATTTGTAATAACTTTAGTTTAGTGCAGCTATAGAGTGATTATGACCTCAAAGTTTCTCATATTGTCATTGGAGAATATGAAAACGCTGAATCCTGAAGCACTGCTGAAGAGACGGGCAGTTTCTTTATTAAGAAGCTGTAACCACATTATGTTTATCTCATCCACAAATCTCCTGGGATGCTGAACTGGCCTTCTTCTTCTTCTTCTTCTTCTTCTTCTTGTGTGAAATCCTTTGGTTTAAGACAACGTTGCAGTGAAGCTCTCTAAAGCTAAAGAGTGTGCAAATTCAAAACAAAAAAATCCATGACTCTGAAACCACTGTGCCCTCTATACAGAGTCAATAAGCAGATGGAAAAACAAAAAGTCTGATCAGTCTGAGCATTAACTGAAAAGCCTGAAACACAGTTTGTATTTCAGCAGGTAGAACGTAGAACTTTTATTTTGGCAACAACAGCAACTGTAAATAGCATATGTCAGTTCTGACGTCAACAAGTTTGTTTTGCCTCATATTATCACCTTTTAATCTTGTGTGAATAAGATTTCATGCAAGATCAACTGCAAACTTAATAAGAAGTTAAAAAATTATATCCTTTTTTGAATACATAACAGTTTTTTTAACTAAAGTTGAATTTAGTTAAATCATTTCAACTACTTTCATACAAAACGCATGAAAATGTCATTCCTAGAAAATCCATTTTAGATAATGCATATTTAATTTTAATTGGCTTTATTGGCCCCCTGTATGCAGGATAAGCGGTTGACGATGGATGGATGGATGAATGGCTTTATTGGCAAGACGTTTTAGTTCAAACATGTTGCCAAAGCAGAAAGTCACTTATAAATAATAAAATAATAATCTAATAATAAACATTAAAAAGAAATCTAAAGAAAATAACTAAATAAATATTTCTCAAATATATCTTATGTATATATGTATAATATATATGTCAAAATATAGCATTTTAAAAGTTAGAAAAGCTGTTGTGGAAGCAAAGAGAAGCTAAAGAAAACATGTGACCATATCAAAAGTGACCAAGTTAGCGAAGCATAACTTTTAAAATGTAGTTTTTCAACAGTTTACTTTAAATGAAAACAGGTTGTTCTGAAACACAATTGTAAAATCTGCCAAGATATATATTATTATAAGACGTGTGCTGAAGCAGCCAAACAATTAATCAAAAAATGCTAAAACATACTGTTGGAATGCTAACGGCAGTGTTAACAAAAACTAGCTTGTTAAATAAGCGTTACGTTAAACTTAATTTAGCTGACCGCTCTAGTCAAGTTAACATCATTATCTTCCGATCAAAAAGTAATAGTTGACTATTTATCCAATTTTCTTATATTTGCTAAACATTAGTTAAAAATTAAAGTGGCGTGCTACAGATGGTGTTGTTGCTCAGATAGAAGATGTCATGAATGATGTTGAAAAATTAAAGTAGTCTACTTCGATAGAAACATTATGTCTTCAGTTATTGCTAAAATACTGAGATTTGACTTGTCGAGTCTTAAGTTAATTTTATTAAGCTGGTTTTATGAAGACAGCATAAATAACAATAAGCAGAAAGCCCAAAATTTCCCAGGACCCAAAATAAAAAGTGGAGAACAGACTGAGGCCATTGTGATTCTAGGCATCACTAGACGCTAGCTCTAGAATACTTGCTACATTGTTAGCTGCATTACAGTGCCATTACTAGCTTGAAAGCTAGTTAGCTGAAAAGCTTGCTAGCTTGCTAGTATCTCAAAACTAAATTTAATTTGTAAAGTAAAAGGAATTACTGAAATGTGTGCTGTGATCAATGTAATTACAGGTAGAACCAGAAACTATCTAGAAAACCAACGACATTAGTAGCTTAGCGAGCTGGTAGCCAACCTGAACATTATGTTCCATGTAATTATAGGGAACATAGGAACAATCCCCTAGTTTACTAGGTAGCAAGCTACCAAAACGTAAAGCTAGCGTGGTACTAGCTTATAAAGCTGGTGGTCAACCTCAACATAGGACGTTTGTCATGTTCACATTGCGTGCCATAAAAATCTAAGGAACATATTAGGGAACGTAGTAGGGAACAAAGGAACAATCCCCTAATTTACTAGCTAGCAAGCTACCAACACAAAACGTAATTTGTTGATTAAATTGAGGGTTTACTAAAATGTACTAAAGGCTAGAATACTAGCGTGGTACTAGCTAAGCGAGCTGGTTACCAAGCTAGGTAGCTTGCCAAAACAAAATTCATTTCAAGCAACTGATGAAGTACTTTATTGGTATTCATTATTAATATAAGGTAAAAAAATATTATCACATTAATAGTTATTCGAAGGAATGATTTGCAATTTGAGGGTAAAATATCAATTTAGGGAATAATTTATCAGAAAAATTCCTGATACTTAGTGGGCTCAGTATAAATGTGAATAATGCGAGTGTGGCCAAAAAACGGCAGCATTCTAAACGGTAAACTAAATGATTTTTACATTTCATAATTTGATTTCAGCACCAATGCGGTGCAAAAGCCTGCATCTTTTCATCTTATCTTATTTTGTCGCCACTAGTCTTTCCAAAGTAAAATTAAAAAAGGTATTTCTGTCGTAATAAAACACATCACATCACACCTTCCAAGACAGAATCCAAACTCACCGTCACACATTTCCCCCAAACCTACAACTTTTCAAAGATGAGTTTCAGCTGCCAGTTTATACTCAGACATAAAGACGGAGGAGGATTTTACGAACTTCGTCCACATTCCCAGAGACGCAGGAACAAGAAGAAACAGAGTCTGTAAAGGACAGTTTCTGGACTCGACGAGGGATCTGAAGGTCCCAGCTCCTGATGTAGCAACAATAAGTATTGGATCACTGTACTTTTGTTGTGATGTTTAAGGGTTCTTTTTAAATCCGAGATCTGCATTAGCTGATTTATTTTGATGTTTTTTGGTGCTAGAAGGTTAATATGTTATAGATCTGTTTGATTCAAGGATCCTGTTTTTATTCAAAGCCTCAAACCAAAGCTCTTCTTTTATTAAAGCCGTTTTACTGAAGGACTAATGCAAGAAATGGAACTTTGAATTGAATTTGAATGCAGGTGGATTTATCCCAGATGGTTGCATTTAATGAATTTAATAAATATGGACCACAGTAAAGGTTTCTGGCTTTGAATGAGCGGCGATCTGAGAATGAGTGCTGCTGATAACACCTGTGGCATTATCATCGACTGTGGAGTAAACTGCTGAGCTTCATCAGAGGAGCTGTGAGTAGTTGAAACTGTACAGATACTGTTTATTCCATGCATGAAGTACTGTAGTTCTGAGTGTTGTGTATTTATCTCATCTTTGTTCCACTAATGAGTTCGTCTGTCCGCCGTCGCCGTTAAAGAACTGCTGGTTTTACACGTTTCTGACGATTTCCTGTGTAAACGTCACATTCCTGCTCATCACTTTTCCAAATCATCCTTTTAAGATTTTAGACTTCCTTCTTTTTGGTTTCAGTTTATTTCTATTGAAATCAGCTTCCAGAGAGACGTTTAGTGACGTCTACAGGTTTGTTTTTTGGAAACAAAATCGGATCATTATCACCAACATTTGACCACGATTGTAGCCCGCCAAAATATCTACCTGCGTGGTCGCTCACTTGACTTCAGTTCAATTTTATTCAAATCTTTAATCTTCCGCTACGTAGCCGAGGTGGTGACTGTCGAGGGTGAGAAGTGTCCAGCGTTTCACACTCAACTTTTTGACTGTTATGAGTGCAGCTATGAGTACTCAAAATAAGCAAGTGGGAGCACGGAAGGGCGCAGGTTGAGATGCAGCACGGGCTGACGCGTTAATGCGTCCAAAATCTTTTTATTTAGTCAGAAACAAACATCATTTAAATAGTAGTTTTAGAACGGTTCCTGTAATCCGTAAAATCTCACAGTCCATAAATGCACCAAACGTTTTTAGAGAGTGTGCATCCATGAGATGATCTGGAGTCTCAGAAGTCCTGAAAGATTGCATTAATTCATGGTCTTGTTGGCACAGGATGTGGAAATAACACCTTGTAGGACTTTAGGGGTCTGATAAAAACAAAAAGGGACACAAGTTGACTGTGTTGATGAAAGAAATAAACTGAAATCAACATGAAAATCGATATGTTTTACAGGAATATAAAGATGCAGATGCAGTACCGTCTACATTCCACCACTGAGGATGATATCCGGTTTAAAGCGTTTAGTCTGAAGTGTTTCGACCTCTTATGACTTAAAGAAAGTCAAAGGCCAAAGAGACGAGCTGATTTGGTTTATTTTTAATATCCAGTAATATTTGATAATGTCGAGATAATCAACACACCTGTGGCCTGAAAAGGAAGTTCCCAAAATGCCCAAAAAGAGAATCAGGAAAATGAATTCTTTATTTATTTTTATCACTCCAACAAATGGAAATATTTGACACTTTAGCATCTCTGCTAGAATTTAAAATAAAGTTTTTAGATCCAGCAGAGTTGGAGCAGTAGAAAATATTTCCTCCTCCTGAATCTTATTTCTCAGTAACCCTTTCATCCATGCCATAAGATACCTTTTATTTTGTCGTTGAATGTTAAAAATGTGCTTTAACGTGATTTGTTTCCTGCTTCTCTGCGTCCGTCGTGCCTCATAGCGTCCGCCTGACCTTTCCTTATTAAGCCCCGCCTGTCTGAAGCCAGGCCAGGCGGGGCTTTGGTCTGCAGGTGAAGTCAGCGTAGTGCCTCATCGACACCCTCAGTGCTGATGTTTAACGTGTGTGTGTGTGTGTGTTAACGTGTTTCCTGCCGCTGCAGTGGTGTGTTCACCTCAAACCTGCTGAGCTAACGTGCCTCCAGATGTCGGTTAGACTTTTCTTTTCTGTCGCTGTGTTAACTTTTTACCTGAAGTTTTATTGAATAGACGATATGTATATTTTTGCAGACAGAAGCTGTTTCTTTGTTTTGTTTCGACTGTAAAGTTTTAACTGTAAATTGCACTAATTGTTTTACAGATGCTTTTAGATGTGACGTTCAGGGTATTATGAATGTTGTACCAACTAAAGCTAAATATATAGAACATATATATATATATATATATATATATGTGTGTTAAATAACGGATTCTTACATGTGTTTAATCAGAATAAACTAAAGACCAACTAAGAACTAAAGACATTCTGGTTTCTGTCTAATTTCTCTTTACACAACATCAGCTTGAGAGAGATTTATAGAAAGTCAGTGAGCGAATCTAAAGTTCTTTCTGATCAGTAACCCGATAATACGTCAGTCTGTCGGTCAGCACCGTCTGAAGACGTAAATCTTTAAAAACTCCACACAAAAATACAAAAACAGCTGCTCGCTGTAGTTTCTATCAGACAAACAGGATGAAATACTGCATCTACAACATTTGAAAAGTCTGGAAGGGCCGCACCGTTATCAAGTTAGGGCCTAACTGGAAGTTAGCTGGCTCGGCCTGTGGAAGTCGACACACTGAACGCTATAACGCTACCAGAAGCCGACGCAGTGCTTCCTCCGTAGGCTACAGCGCAGACTCGACGCAGAAGTATAAATCACCCTTTAGACCCCTTGGGAAAGGAACCGGGTCTCTAAGATCTAAGACCTAATCCCGATGTCTCAGACTTTGAGGGGCGTTCCTGCAAAGTCTGAGCGGGTTGTTTCACTGTCACATCATCAGGTGCGCAGACTTTGCCTGAGGGAACTGCCCACAGTTCATAGCGTTGTGACATAAAACACGGGGGGGGGGGGGGCTTAAGCTCTCAATCTACTTGCTTTTTAACAACGCGCCCACTTGAACGGCATTGTTCACATACTTGCTTGTGTACTTTGTGTACTTTGCGTGTACCTGGAGGATTGTACGTACCCTCGAGGGGGCAGATCAGGGCCGGATCACCCCTGGCCCACATCAGAATACCCCTAACACACACGCTCTCTGTTTATTAGTCTACACTCTACATTTCCAGCTAAACTGAGGCTTATTGTAATTATTTTTGATCATTCTCTCTGCTCGCCTGCCAGTTTTGCACAGAGTTCTGCGTGCACGCCATGCGGCTAATGCACAACATGGTTCCTCACGGGTCTATTTCAAGTAGGCTAACTGTTTAAAAACGATATGATATTCTTTGTGTGGTTCATCAATGCTGATAAAAGATCCAAACAACTCTGCAGCAACAGCGGTGGAGCTGGAGTGTTCCTCTTCTGCCGCTGCACACATACATGAGCACTGACCCCCTGTTGACAGTCAGGGTTACTAAAACTTTTATTAAAAGCTTCTTTCTTTTCACATGTTTATTTACAGCATTAAACGTGTTTTTGTTCACTTATTGGGAGAAACCCTGCATTTCTCTGTAAAATCAGACGATGAGCAGCCCCATAGCGCCAAAATGGTACAATCCATGTTTCGACTGACAGTCCAATCTTCGACTATTCGGGGTCCAGGAGGTTTTCTCCAAAACATCCCGCCATTATTCTCCTTTGTTCAGTCTGCTGCTGACCTTCTGCGGTTTGCAAATCAACTGCTTTACCGCCACCACCGGGGCTGGAGAGTGGAAGAGGAACTGCTGCGGACAGATCCTGAAATACTGCGCCAACGTTCATGTGCTGAGATGCATCTTGCACAGCGTTAATTTCTGAAGGCCTGCGTTCCTCTGGAGCGCAGGCCTTCAGAAATTACGCGTGGCAGCCATCTTGCATACGTGAACGTGCTGTCCTCTTCCTGTTTATAACATTGTGCAGCCTTTTGCACTCAATCACTCACCAGATGACGTCACTTAAGTCTGTTCAGGGTTTAGGGGGGACATTGAGATTGGGCCATTCATTCTGGATCTAAACGTGACCACATGGGAGAAAGACTTCCTGAAGATGTTTGGGTGCAGAACTCCTCACTGTGGATACGTCACGGCCTGAAACAGTTCAAAGTTCTGCACCGTCACTGGCCTTCACCTGGCCGTCCTGCATGTTTCTGTAGTCCTGCCTCAGTGGGACACGTGTTTCTGTGGGAGCTACTCCTTGTTAGAGCCAGACCGATATGGGATTCTTAAGTCCGATACCGACTTCGATATTTGAGGATTTTAAAATCTGATAAGCTGATGCATCACTTGTGACACGAGGGAAGGATCCGACTCGCTGTTTCTTTATTAGTCCCAAATCTGTTTTTGTTATCTGTTGTAAACGGCGCTGGTGATTTATCCGCAAGTTATACGGGCCGATAATATCTGCATAACGGTAAATCTGTCGGGCTCTGCTCCTTGTTTCGTGAAAAGTTCAAGGTTTTTTTACCAGAGCAAGACAGGCTGCAGATCTGTCATCTGTTTGTTTGCTATGCTGGCCTGGATAATAGACTCTTTTTTCCTTTGGAAGATTCATTGCTCAGGTGCCTCAGCAGCTCATATGAGTGCAGGAAATCAATGAATCCAGATTTTCATACACCAGAAAACTGAGCGAATGTTTCAGTCTTTGCTTCATCAGTGGCCTGCAGGCTTCCTCTGCTCAACTGGGAAAACCTCATTTGTGTTCTCCCTTTCACCTTTGGAGAAACTGCGATATAAATAACATAAAGGCTGCGAGAACTTTACGTACACAAGGAGTCCTTTATCTGGAACTTTTCTTGTTATCATGGGACACATTTACACCGGGGACTCAAACAAGCAACTTGACCTCAACGCCAAAGAGTTGACGCAGCAGTCAGAGCGCATACTCAACCGTAGTGATGGTACCCGTCACTTTTGTTGAAAGCATTTGTTAAAAATATTCTAAACAATATCTTTCAAAGAAATGTTGACTAACAAATGAAACTGCTTTGAGAAAGTGTATCTGCACAATGAAAAGACATGCAATGCAATTTAATGCAAAAAAACAACAACTTATAACTTATAGTCTGTTTTTATTTTTATATTTTGAACTGTCACCTGAATTTCGTGTCTCTTTTTATATAAATAAAAAACATTTCCACCATAAATTGGTGCAGAAAATTTCTCCAGAATGTTGGAAAGTGTTTAATGCTGAAAAGTTCATCATCACACCCCTAATCTGAGCCCTGATGTCCAACAACTTGGTTATAATTATGATGACTGGATTGTTTTTCAAGTCTTACGTTTATTTTAAAGACGGCATCATGACCACATACTGATTCCTCACATGGTCGCTCTTAAAGTCACATTTCTAACACGAATGAGCTGATTCTCATGTTTTCATCCCAAACATCTGAAACAAACGTGACTTTGAATCAATGTTATTTTCTTCCTGTCAGGTGTTGAGTGTTTTTCTGACTGGGAGCTCCGGTGTTTGACCAGCAGGGGGCAGAAGGTCAACGACTTACCCCGCACCAAAGATCATCTGTGATGCGGGGAGCGCTCACTCTGATCTCCTCTCTCAGGAACATCTGTTCAGCCCGCTGATGCTCAAGAACAGTTCTGGTCTTTGTACTTAGAAGATGATAAGTGGAGAGTATAAGAAAGTCAAAATCTAAAAATATAATAAATGGTGGTAATGATGAACAGCAATAAATTTACATTATTTCTCTGTTTTTCAGGCCTAAACTTTGTCTTTACCTTCTTTAGTTCTTCTGCAGCAGTGGAAGGAAAGTGGACACATTTCTACAGTGAACACCTTGGAACAGCCTGTTAACACCCTCAGAAGCTTTATGTGTACAATATTATATTTATTATATTTAATATTAATGAAGGCAGACGGAGCAGCTGGACATCGGTTGATCCTACAGTGAAATAATGAACAAAACTTCTTCATTTCTTTGTTGATTTTAGATCTGAAAATGTCTGTTTTGGTGACGTAAACGTTGTTGTAAACTTTGGCGGTTTGCTGCTGACTTTGGTTCCATTTAAGGTTTTTCACTTGAACTACTTAAATTCACAGAAGAACTACAAACATGGGGCTGTCCTGAAACGTCTGAGCCGTAGTGTGCACTACATGTTACAGTCTGCTACATAATAAACTACTTCTCCCAGAAAATTATTGCAATTACAAATGTTTTGGGATTCTCATGTTTATTTATTTTGTTTGTGTTGGAACAACACACAAAAAAGGAACAGAGAAAAAGGCCAAATCTGATCATACAGAACTCCAAAAATGGACTAAATTATTGGCCCCCTCAACTTAATATGTGGAAGCACCCTTTGAAAAACTACCTGCAATCAGTGCGTTTCTTCCGCCTCTGTTCTGGACTTCTGGACCAGCTGCTCCAGGTCTTTCAGGTTTGATGGGTTCCTTCTCCCAGCTGCTGATCTGAGATCTGTGCTTTGGGTCATTGTCCTGCTGTAGGGCCCAGACCCTCTGACGGAGACCCAGCTTTCTGAAACTGGGCCCTACATTGGACCCCAGAATTCTTTGTTAGTCTTCTGATTTCATAATGCCATGCACACAGTCAAGGCATCCAGAGCCTGAAGCAGCAAAGCAACGGCACAACCTCCGTGAACCTCCACCACGTTCGACTGCAGGGACCCTGTTCTTTTCTGGGATTTTGTCCTCTGTCTGCAGGACTTTCTCCCAGAAGGACTTTGGCTTCCTCAGCTAGGTTTCTGTGTCAGCAGCGGGGTCCTCCCGGGTCCCTTTTCATTCAGATGGCGACGAAAGGTGCGAGCTGACCCTGCTGGACTCTCTGTCTGCAGGTCAGCCTGAATTTGTTTGGAAGTTGATCGAGGTTCTTCGTCCACTATTCCTTCGTTTTAATCTTTCATCGGTTGTTGTCTTTGGTCCACGTCCAGGCAGATTAGCTGCAGGTCCACGGGCTGCAGACTTCTTCACACACAGGAACATTAAGATCTCTGCAGACGGACTTTGCTTCGCTAAAATGTCCAAATCCTCAGACAACTCTTTTCTCTTCTTTCTTCTGTCCGTGCTCAGTGTGGAACACGACACAAAGGTTGAGTCAAACTTTCTCCATTTGAACTGGTTGTGAGTGTGATTTCTATTTTCAGCACGTGTGAGCTGCTGCAGGTCAGGTTAATTATACATTCAGACAACATCAGATGTTTCAAATACAATTATTTATGACGGTTTTCAAAAGGTGCCACTAATTTAGTCCTGTCCATGTTTGGAGTTCTGTGTGGAACGTCTCAGATTTGGCTTTTTTTCTCTGCTTTCTTTGTGTTGTTCCGATGCAGACTGTAGACCAGTTTCTGGGAGAAGCAGTG